TAAAAAAAAATAGTCGATCAATATAGGGTAAACCAGAGAGTGATTGCCCACTGGTAGTGATTGCCCGCTTTAAGAATAATATTATCAGGTGCTGATTTTGAATCACTCTAGTTAGATTTGAATTTACTAAGTAGATGGCTCCGAGATCAATGTACAGTAGATTTAAAATTTACAATAGGAAACACTAAAAAAAACAGTTATGGCGGATTTTGTCAAGACGGGTGAAAATGTTACTCAACAGGTAAAGATTTTAACAATTTTACTAAGGAATTACTTTCTTAGAGGTTAAATTTTTTTTGCAAGTTATTTAATATTCAACTAATGGTATATAGTTATGATGAAATTATAAGTGTTTTCTCCATTATCAATGAAAATAACCGATAAAATTTGATTTCTAACGGTCATTTTAACGGTGGGTAATCACTGCACGTAAATCTGTATATTTTTAGTTATTGCCCACCATCATTTCAGTTATTGCCATATGTTAATGTATAGTTATTGCCCAGGGCAATTATTATTAGAGTGTTGCCACCATGCAGTAGCAGTGTTTAAGTTGCTCATTGCTAGACTTGTTTTGCAATTTACAGGCATAAATATTGAAATGGCTTTTAATGTTTCATTTTCAGTATGCCAAAGACTCCAAAAGTTCAATATAGCATAGAAAATTTGCAAAAAGCGATCGAAGCTGTACAAGATGTATCCAACAATTTATCTACAAGATAAATTGCTGAAAAATATGGTTTGGCTTGAAAAAATTGATAAAAATTCAAACGCAAATACAAAAAATGAAAATCCTACGTTAAATCTACTAGTGAAAATGTTAATTGTAAGGAAATAGATACAACTTTAGGGAAGAATAACCAACAGCTAATTGAACATTCTGAGCAACCACTTGAACTGATATCAAAGAAGATAAAAAAATAAATACATATAAAATTTACATATAAAATTCAAATTTTTGCGTCATCTATGTTTTGAAGTAGATGATTCTGTCTCTACCGATTCTGACTCATCAACATCAGCTCAAGAAATATTTGATAATATGTTAATAAGGCCAAACGCAATTTATTTTGAAATTTTGAAGACTGTACTACTAGAATTTAAGTTTAATGTTTTGTTTTGTTTATTTAAAGCCTATTTTGTCATTTTAAAATTGATTATTTTGTTTTAAGATACTGGGCAATTACTGTGCTTTGATGTGGGCAATTAGTGTAAGTAATGGGCAATGACTGTACTTTTTGGGGGATTTTAAATTTATTTCAATATTTTCTAAGTTACGTAAGTTTTAACTAAAAACTGTTAATATTCTGTTTAACAGTTTATTGAGTTATAAGAAAAAAGTCATAAATGGTCGATAATTAAAATACTTTCTTTAATTTTTCATCTCAATGTGTTTGAAATCTTTAAGTGGGCAATAGCTATACGGTTTACCCTACTTACTGTTTTAAAGAAGATAAAAAAACAAAAATGCTTCAAATTTTCTCATAAAGATGTCAATGGGTGGTTGTGCTTATGTGGAGGCGAAGATACATTCATCACATAATAAGTTCTTCCGTAGGTAATTAAAACAAGCTCAGTGTTTATTTTAGTTTGAAGAGCAAGACTACTTTTTGTCACCGTCATGATCCGATTTGATTTAAATGATTGGGCTTAGATTCTAAATAATTCTGGCTTAAAATAAAAGAGTAACAAAACAAGAGTCGGTCATCGGCTTCGAAAATTGAAATTGTAATGTTGTTTGCACCGTTGTTTCAGTGGCAGTTCAGTTGAGCATGAAAACAAGATGCTAATGTCACCCCGGTGACTGACGCCGGCGCTAGGGCTCGGGACTTTAACCTGAACCAATCGACTCGGGAGTTGGGACTTTTGAAAGACGCGCTAATAATAACTGAGTTACGTTGGTAACGTACATTTTATAAACATATTAATAAAGCAGATACAAGTAAGTACTTCACTGTTAAAATAATTATAAAAATGTTTTTTTATGAAGATGAGACGTTTTATCTCAAATTAGGTAAATAACCGAATATGTATTTTAACAATATTTTTATTAAAAAATGTGAACTGAGCAGAGTCCTCACAAACAAACTATTTATAAATGTAGATAATGAAAGGTTAACAAAGTAAATATTTAGAACCACAAATATTTATGAAAAACATACCATATTTTTATTTTTTCATTCTTTATTAATTACATTAATATTTTTGACCTTTCTTACCTGCTTGTTGTTTTAAACACATAATTTTCTCTAGACAAATCCAGCCCCAGGACTATAAAAGTGTCGAGACTTCCCAAACCCCACAGCGATTACATGGGCGATAAAACAGCTCCCAATTCATTCACACTTATCAAACGGATTTAAGTTATTTATATAAAACATATTCAAATCATAAAAGTTTTATTTATAGAACCGGACCATTTCAAAGATACTCTATTATGAGCTGTTTTATAGATCCAGTTTCAATTAATGGAATCTTGGCTATAACTATTATTAATCCTCATTACAATTGCCATGAATGACAATATTATAAATAGTTATGAAAAACAAAATTACCACCATGTGGGTGGTTTTGGTATTAAGTTACTTTCGACTAAAAATATTAGCAATCCGAGGCACACCAGGCCAAAAGCCGTGGCATCTTATGTAGTTGTAATAGGTACTATTTTGCAATAAATATGTGTAGTTTTGTCGTCGATTGTAGAATCTGGAACTATCTAACGTAGTCCAGATTCATCATATGCACATACAACATTCGTTCGTCAACAATCATCACGCATAGTGCGAGCGTGACGTTTATTTAATGACTTGTCTTGTTGTACCCATTGTAGTTTTATATCTTCAACAAATACCATCTCGGAGCAGGTGAACAAACACGTTCGAGCATCCAGCCCGTGTCAAAGGGGTCATGGCCCGTCTAGACCGAACTATAATCTGGCTGGGTCTAGACGTCTGTATTATTCACAATTTTACACGCGACTCCTTGTGTTCAAAGTTAACTATTTTGAAAATACTCTCTTTTATACTTTAAAACGTTTGCCTTTGACCGAAGCATTTTACTCGCGGATAAATGAAATGAATTTCACTTTTTATAATACACCCACGTAAACCGAATGATAAGCTTTTTAACAAATTAATGGTACCTAAATACCGACACATTATTTATACAGAGTGTCCCGCATAGAGCGTGCACAAACTTAAGGAGATGATAGACTAATGGATCACCATTTATACAAAACAATGTTTTAGTAAAAGTATCACCATTTCAGAGATAATATAATATGATCTTTTTTCATATTTTTAATCCCTAATTTGAGCCTATCTCTTGTTGCTCTGTGTATAAATGGACAAATAAATTTCAAGGTGAATAAGAAGAACATAAAGAGAAATATCTGCTCATTTGTACATACAGTAACAAGATAAAGAAAAGAGTTTAAAAAAACACATGAAAAAATAGTATCATAAATGGTGATACTTTTCCAAAACAAAACAAATTTGACGGATGGCCATCCTTTACTCTATCATCTCCTTAAGTTTGTGCACGCTCTATGCGGGACACCCTGTATGTATAAATTAAATAAGTTGGTATAAATACTTACCAACTGGTGGGCGATGCGTGATAACAAAACACATCACATGCCAATTTGCATGACCTACCTCAACACATTATGCTCTCTCAAAAGATAAACACAACGAGGCCGACTGTAGCATCGGAATTCGAAGAGAGCTTGCAGCAATGCGTCCAGTCATTATCATTCTGGTATGTTGATAATGTTGATATCTACGCTGTATTTAGATCAAAACGACTTTACTGTTTTATGCCATGATGAGGTTATATAACTCATTACGATTTCAAATGAAATCATTTATTGGTAGTAATACTGACTGTATAATTCGAATAGGTAATGTATTATCAGCTTAGAAATATGCTTTGTCCACATCCGTAGATGTAAACACGGCTTAATTTCATACCGAATGTGTCTAATGTGTCTATGCCTTATTTTTATGGTTAATGTTGGCAACACTAACAATGATATCGCTCTTCCTCATCACGCTCTCACCAACTCGTACTGGTTTTTGTAAATATTGTGTTTTTATAAATAAAAGTCAAGATTAAAGTACAAAATCTTATTATTTGTATGTTCCACGAACATAAATGGTGCCGAAACTCTATAAACAAGCTTCGACAATAAACTTCGAGCAACGAAACCACACCTTCGCCGGCCGGCAAGAAAAATAAGCTGATTTCACTGNCAAAAACATACCGGATCCGCCGGATTACCGGATCCGCCGGACCGGATTGCAATCCCTAGCCCGGACACACTGTATAAAAGGAGAAACTGACTGACTGACTGACAGATCAACGCACAGCCTAAACGGCTAAACGTAGGCACTTGAAATTTGGAAGGGACGTAGCTTAGGTACCGTAGAGGTGCACTAAGAAAGGAATTTCCGAAATTCCCACGGGAACGGGAATTAGCGGGAAAAACGGGATTCACGCGTACGAAGTCGCGGGCGGCCGCTAGTAGAATTATAAAAACGTTATTATAGAAACGTTAGTAGAATTACAATGGAATATACAGAAAAAGCCACCGTAAAAGTTAGACTTACGTTATACCATAAAATCTGATTTTATGTATAATATTTGGGCAATAATTAGGAGTATTTTCCCCAACAGCCAGACAGTTTTGACAGTTTCAACTCCTTGCCAGACAGTTTTTTTAGGGTAGCTCCCAAAGCCACCATGACGCAAACTTCATAATTCACCAACATTATAATTATCATAAATAATATTGGGAGCATACGCTGACAAACTTTTTATAAAATGACGTAGGTCTGGCGTTCACTATCTCTTAGTCTACATCGGAACATCGACAGACACACGGAAAACCGGAAAATAACTATCGGGAAATTAAAGCCCAGTTTCCACCAAAGCGGAGAACATACAAGTTGTTCGACTATTCAGATTACCGAACAGAGCGGGGAGGTGGTATGTGTCCACATCCGTAGATGTAAACACGGCTTAATTTCATACTGAATGCGTCTAATGTGTCTATGCCTTATTTTTATGGTTAATGTTGGCAACACTAACAATTATATCTCTCTTCCTCATCACGCTCTCACCAACTCGTACTGGTTTTTGTAAATATTGTGTTTTTATAAATAAAAGTCAAGATTAAAGTACAAAATCTTGTTATTTGTATGTTCCACGAACATAAATGGTGCCGAAACTCTATAAACAAGCTTCGACAATAAACTTCGAGCAACGAAACCACACCTTCGCCGGCCGGCAAGAAAAGTAAGCTGATTTCACTGCATATTGCTGAACATACACTTGCACAAGAATAAATAAATCGAAGGCCAATCAATACACTATTGTGCCATATTGATTTGCAAGTCGCAGTAGCCAAAAGTGAACAATTTTATTCAACTTTGCAAGAAAATAACCGGCCGCCATTTTGGTTCCCTTTACTTTGCATCGAGAAAAATATCACCACGCCCTGCCATTTTTCGCCATGACCATGGATAGCGATTCGGCTGAAAAGGAAGTGGACAAGAACGCAAGGAAAGGTATCATAAGAAAAATCGCACAGTGTAAAGCGTCGTTGACAAAGGCAGAAAATTTTATCCGCACATTGGAATCGCCAATCAACAAGGACGTGGTATCTGCGCGGCTACAACAACTGCAGGAGGTGCTGCCAAGGCATGAGCAGCTACTGATCGAATTAAGTACTTTGGACGACACCCTTGATGAAGACTATTTCGGAAACGACGCGTTCGAGGACCGGTATTTGGCGATCGTGGCGAGCCTTCGAGGCCTACTGGCGCCGCAGCCGCCGTCGCCGGCTCCAGCATCGGGCGCGCAGCAGTCTACAGACGCGTGCGCTACCAGCGTGAGGCTGCCAGAAATAGACATTCCTGCGTTTGACGGCAAGGACTACACAAAATACCACTCGTTCATCGAACTCTTTAGTGCAGTGATAGATAATAATTCTAAATTAGCCGCAATTCAAAAGCTTTTCTATCTTAGAAAATACTTAAAAGGTGAGCCATTGTCATTAATCGAAGGATTACCCGTCACCGGGGACTCGTATGGAAAAGCTCTTGAATTGTTGAGAAATAGATATGACAATAAGTTTCTTATTATCACTAACCATGTACAAGAGCTGCTAGACTTCAATCCACTAGTAAAGGGAGCGGCTACCAATTTAAGAGAGTTAGTGTCACATGCTCGCCAGCACTTAGGTGCACTGAAAACATTAGGACAACCGACTGACAGCTGGGACATGATAGTTTTACCCATTTTGTTGCGAAAGGTCGACCAGTTTACTTGCAGAGCCTATCATTCGGAGCGTGACACCACAAAGCTGCCCCTACTGGATGACTTCTTCGCTTTTGTGGAGCGGAGAGCTAGCAGCTTCGAGGAGAGCCAAAGAAGTGAAGGTAAGAGCAACAATAATAATAACACTTACAAAACTAAAGTGTCAAACTATGCAAGCAAAACTGCCACAAAGTCGTGGTCTTGCAAATATTGTAGTGAGCAAACACATAGATTATTCAAATGTGACAAATTTCTAGCCATCTCACCAGAGGAAAGGCTCAATTTCATTTCACAAAATAATTTATGCAAAATATGTTTCAATTCTCACACAAATAAATGTAAATTTCACTTCAAATGTGAACAGTGCAAGGACAAATCGCATAATACTCTCTTGCACTGCAATGAAAAAGTATCAATGCACAGTAATTCTAATGTTAGCACAATATTGCTGCCCACCATCAAGGCCAAAGTACTCTGCCGGGATGGCAAATCACACAAAGTAGTCCGGGGACTAGTTGACAGTGGCAGCCAAGTGTCATTTATGACAGCTGACTTAGCAAAAGCATTGCAATTACCGCTAATTGATAGCAATTTAAATATCACAGCCTTGGGGAAACAAAACAAAACAACCTCAAAAGCTGTCAATGCTGAATTTGTGTCACTTCAAAATAATTATAAGTGCCAAGTTAATTGTTCCATAGTGGACCAAATTACAACCAAGCTGCCACAGCAACAAGTAAGCTGGCAAAATATACAGCTGCCAGACTCTGTGGTGCTTGCAGATAGTGACTTTGACACTCCGGGAGACATTTCATTTCTGCTGTCAGCGGACATATTCTTCCAAATATTGCTGCCTCGCAAAATCAAGCTGCAAAATAGTAATTTGTATCTTATTGATACCCAGTTTGGTTCAATATTGTCAGGTGAAGTAAACACTAGTGAGTTTTGTGCATCCAGTCACCATGTCACCTTGCATGCTATATGTGACAACAATGTAGATCACCTCCTACAAAAGTTTTGGGAGACTGAAATGGTCCCTGAAACGAAATTGGAGGTTACAGCAAAGCAGGATGCCTGCGAAGCCGAGTTTAAAAGCTCGGTACAGCTCACCAGCGAGTTTCAGGTGTCCCTCCCGCTCAAAGTCCCCGTAGATCAGCTAGACCTAGGAAATACATTTCCTATAGCATCAAAAACATTAAATGCCATCGAAAAAAGGTTAGCCAAAGATGATCAATTAAATAGAAATTATAATGACTTCATGAATCAATACATAGAAATGGGTCATGCAAAGGTCATCCCACTGTGCCAGTTAAAGGACAATGGGCAAAATGGTACCCGGCTCCAATAGATATGTGTCTAGTATCGTTTGAAAGGTCTTACCAAGATGAACAACTTTTACTATGACCACCAGCCTCAGATCTGGTTGTGTACGAAGATATACATACTTTTTTGCAGAATGGTACCCGGCTCCAATAGTTATGTTTGTAGTGTCATTTGAAAGGTCTTACCAAGACGAACAACATTTACTATGGCCACCAGCCTCAGATCTGGTTGCGTTCGAAGATAAAGATACTTTTTGTGTAACCTAAGTATCATACAGTATGAAGGGGGACGCGCTCGGGGCAGGGCACCGACGAGATGGTCGGACGCGGTGAGGAAGACGGTGGGCGGGAGTTTGCATCGTGCGGTCCACACAGCTTATGACCGCAGTCTGTGGAGGAACACTATCTGTGGTCGCGATCCTCATCAGTGAGGGACCGAGGAAGAAGAAGAAGAAGTATCATACGTGTCCATCGTATGGTACTTAGGTTATGCGAGGCAGGAAGGGTTTACTGCTCCAGCGCATCCTTCCTTAACTCTATAATTATTAATGGGGATAATTGTGAAATAAATATGTTTATTTAAAGAAGTTCTACCCCCTTATTAATAAAAAGTTACACCTAGGAAGAAACTTGAATTAAAATGACATTTCCATACCAAATGACAATTTAAGCCAGAGTTCAACTAGGGTGTAACTTTTATTAATAAAGGGGTTAAAGTTTTATTACTTCTTAAGGGTTTTATTATGGGTTGCTAAAGCGAACAAACCCACAAGACCCAATAAGTTCACCCACAAGATGGACCGACGACCTCATAAAGGTAGCGGGAAGGCGCTGGATGCAGGTCGCCACCAACCGGCCATTGTGGAAATCATTGGGGGAGGCCTATGTTCAACTGGACGTCCTATGGCTAAAATGATCATGATGATGATGATGAAAGCGAATAGAGGGCTAATAGCTTGGGTAGTTCATCGTAGGTATAATCCTTTCCTTTTCAATGCTTATTTTAGTTATATTAATAGATTGTAGTCATAATACATACACGTATACATGGATGATTGTGTTATACTTTCATTATAATACTTAGTTGAATTACTGCTTTCAAAACGTGAATTAGAACTGGCCCCATAGCAGACATTTTCCTACATCTAAAGGCCTTTTAAAATATATATTGGTTATGGCTATTGGAGCGGGTACCACTTTCCATACATTTGTGCCCATCATCCTTTAAAAAATGCATATTTCATGCAACACTTGCCAGTCATAAGGAACGATAAAAAGACCAATAAAGTAAGAGTTGTTTTTAATGGTAACACAAAAGCTAGTTCGCAGCATCAAAGTTTAAATGATGTTTTGCTAAATGGCCCTAAGGTTCAAAAAGATCTCTTTGACATTCTGATTTTATTCAGGTCATTCAAGTATGTAATGTTAACGGATATCAGGCATATGTACAGAGCTATAAAAATTGATCCATCATTTAGGCATCTACAAAATATATTATGGAAAGATGAAAATAATCAAAGAATTATTCTGCAATTACAGACAGTCACCTATGGACTCAAGAGCTCAAGCTACCTGGCCACCAGATGTCTCCAGGAGTTAGCAGACCGGTTTGGGAGCAATATGCCGCTGGCTGCTGAGGTCATCCGGACAGCCATGTACGTTGACGATGCTCTTTTTGGAGCACAGACCATCGATGAAGCTCTTGAGGTAAGAGATCAATTTATAGACCTGCTAGGACGTGCCAATCTGCAGCTGCATAAATGGGCTGCAAATGATGACCAATTACTGGCTGGCATACCAGCTGACAAGCAGCATTTCGAAGAGCATGAGCTCGGTAATGAGGACCTCTCAATGAAAGCTTTAGGGGTCTCATTCAATGTTAGAGATGATGTTTTTAAAGTGTCATGTCCTATAAAGCGGGTGCAGTCCTGGAATAAAAGGTCCATTTTGAGTGTCATAGGCTCTTTCTTTGACCCCTTAGGGCTCGCTGGGCCAATAATAGTTCGAGCAAAGGAATTTCTACAAAAAGTGTGGAAGGAGAATCTCGAGTGGGACTCGCCCATACCAATGTCATTGCTTAAGGCCTGGTTAACATTCTATGAACAGCTAGAACAAGTGCCTACAATTTCTGTACAAAGAAACATAAATATAAATAATGCGCAGGTAATACAATTGCTAGGATATTGTGACGCTTCTAGCGTCGCCTACGGCTGCTGCATATATATAAGGGTTATTCAAGGCAGCAAAGTAACCACAACACTTTTGTGTTCAAAGTCTAGAATTGCTCCAGTAAAAAACGCCTTGACTATACCTAAGCTAGAGTTAAATGGTGCAGTGTTGCTAGCCAAACTGTATTGCAAAGTCAAAGCAATCTATGCTAAAATTAACTTCAATGCTGTACATTTATTTTCTGACTCCCAAGTTGTTCTGTGTTGGTTGAAGTCTAGCAGAAATAATATACCGGCTTATGTCAAAAACAGAATAAATTTAATAAATTCAAGTACTACAGAATGTAAATGGTTTCACATAGATGGAGCTTCCAATCCAGCTGATTGCTTGTCTCGAGGCTGCAATCCCCAAGACCTGCCATCGAACACCTTATGGTGGCATGGGCCTCCTCAACTTGACTCACTGGAGTATGAGCCTTCACCATCATTGGCTTCATGCAACCACTTACTTTGCGAGAGGGGACCTGCCGAGAGCGAGCAAGCAGCTTGTTTGGTTGTGACACAAGAACCACAATTGTTTGAAAAATATTCTTCATGGTTCACTATGCAAAGAATTGTAGCTTGGATATTAAGGTTTAAATTCAATTGTTTAAATAAACATAATAAAATTAAAGGAAATTTGACTGTAAAAGAATTGTTAAATGCTCAATACAGAATAATTTCTATAACGCAAGGCTTGTATTTTCCTTCGGAAATATCAAAAATAAAAAATAATTTGCCAATAAAATCTAATTTAAAATCCTTGGCTCCATTCATAGATGGAAATGGCATAATGAGGGTTGGTGGCCGGTTGCAAAACGCCCCAGTGCCATACACGCAAAAGCATCCGATTATTTTGCCCAATAAGTGTCATGTCAAGAATTCAATTATTCGAAATGAACACTGTGTATTAATGCATGCTGGTATCACCCTCGTATTAAGTAGTCTGAAACTTAAGTATTGGATCATTAGCGCCGGTCGCGAAGTAAAGAAAATTATTAACAAGTGCTTAAAATGTTACAGGTTTAAGGCTCAAGTAGCCAGCCAGTTTATGGGATCCCTGCCCTCCGATCGCGTCACCGAGAGCCACCCGTTCGACAAGGTTGGAATCGACTTCTGTGGTCCGTTTCAAGTAAAACAATCGGGCATGCGGAGGGCCGTTGTCACCAAAGGCTACACACTAGGGTTTCTGCTCGAGCTTTCTCGAACTCGAGAAAACTCGAGAAATTTGGCTTCATTCGAGACGAGAAAAAAATTACCGGAGCTCGAGAATTCTCGAGTTTCGATTTTGAAGCTTTAATATTCTTGAAAGCCTATTTTCTTCAACAAAAGTAAGATTTTAATTATTTAATAGGTCAACGTTGCTTTTAGACTGGCCTAGTCTTTCCTTTTTTAACTGATTTGATGTAAGAAGAAGTAATGATCTCAATCGAAACTAAGTAAAAATGTTCACCAACGAGTACCTATGCTATATTTATTATGTATGTTTAATCTGACTGATTTAAAGACTGAAAAATATGTTAACTAGACAGTCACCTTACCTAACAGACGTTAGGTTAGGTACTCGTGCCTCCTCGTAAAGTTTATTCAAGTCGTTATCTGTAAAAAATTTAAAAATTTATTAAAAAGTTTTTTTTNACCAAAGGCTACACACTGGTAATTGTTTGCTTCGCCACTAAGGCTGTCCACCTTGAGCTAGTTTCAGACATGACAACTCAAACATTCTTAGCAGCCTTAAAAAGATTCATTGGCAGACGCGGTATTCCCGCCATTATTAATTGCGATAATGCACAAACGTTTAAAGGAGCCGACAACGTGCTCCACGACTTGTATAAATTAGTCAATTCCAAAAAGCATCAATCTCAAGTGAGTGTGGCTGCTGTAGAGAAAGGAATAACCTTTCGCTACATCCCCTCCTACTCCCCCAACCACGGAGGCCTCTGGGAGGCCGCCGTTAAGAGTTTTAAGTTCCATTTCAAAAGAGTGGTGGGGGAGAATAAATTCACGTACGAAGAATTGACCACTATTTTATCCGAAATAGAGGGTATCCTGAATTCCAGGCCCCTCACGCCGCTTTCAAGCGACCCTGCAGACCTAACAGCCCTAACCCCAGGACACTTCCTGACTGGTCGTCCACTCATATGTATCCCTGAGCCGGATCTAACCGATATCCCTCTAAATAGACTAAGATTCTGGAGGCGCTGTACTCAGGTCAAGCAACATTTTTGGAAAGCCTGGTACAGCCAATATTTATCGCAGCTAAATGTTAGAAACAAGTGGAGCAAACAGTTACCAGATGTGGAAGAAGGCAGTTTAGTTTTACTAAAAGGAGACAACGTTCCCCCGCTGCAGTGGCCCATGGCGCGGGTGACGCGGGTGTTTCGGGGAAGCGATGGGAGGGTAAGGGTCGCGGAGCTCAAAACCGCTACTGGTCTAACCCGTAGGTCTATTAATAAAATGTGTATACTTCCCATAGATTATTAAGTAACAAGCTATTTTAAAACTGTTAAATAATTTTTAACCATAGGTTTTAAGCAAATGTTAACTTGTAGTTATGACATGCGAATTTTATTAAATATTTATGGCAATTTTGAGTCTGTAAACTGTGATAACTAAGTAGTAATATGTATAGGGTGTTACTTAAACTTAAGAATAAAGATTTAATTAAGATATAACTTCAATTGTATCATGCAAGTCATTACTAATGTAACTTCATGACTATTACTGTAACTGCATAACTATTAACGTAACTGCATAACTATTAATGTAACTGCATAGCTATTTTTGTAACCTTTTGCCCGGGAGAATGTCCACATCCGTAGATGTAAACACGGCTTAATTTCATACTGAATGTGTCTAATGTGTCTATGCCTTATTTTTATGATTAATGTTGGCAACACTGCTGGTTATAGCTCTCTTCCTCATCACACTCTCACCAACTCGTACTGGTTTTTGTAATTATTGTGTTTTTATAAATAAAAGTCAAGATTAAAGTACAAAATCTTGTTATTTGTATGTTCCACGAACAATATTCGTACCTATAAAAACGGATATCAGAAAAAGTTTAACTTCTTATTTCAACCCTTCAAGAAGATTTTTCAATCAACTAACTAATAACTTTGTCTAAAACATTTTTCAAAATCTATCAAAGTGCCAAACTTATTCTACGAGTATACTCAAAAGTTTACAAAATCCCAACTAAAACTGATATTAAACCTAGGCGCAGACCACCGATTTTTCGTCGGCTGATAGTTTAGTCGGGCAGTTAATCAGTATGGGCATGTATGGCAGTGCGCACATTACGCTGATTTGATGCCGATTATTCATACAAATTAAAATCGGGCCCAACTATCGGCCAACTAAAATTCGGTGGTCTGCGCCTAGGCTAAAAGTGATATTAAAAAGAAAGATAATAAACCTTAAAGACATCTGCCACGAGCCACAGGTTCAGGCAAGCGACTGCGGTCTCCACGATGGCGATGAAAAGCAGCTGGACTCCGCTGGCCACCCCGAGGAGCGCTCCGAAGGTGATCAGCACTGTCGCCGACATGATGTCCGCCTCTGTAGGAAGTTCAAGATATACTCGTGATTTACATTCAATTTCTTCGCTCATCATTATCATCAATTCCCTTCCCTTTTCACCTATTCTAAATTGGCCTCAAAGAATGAAAGTAGATATTGTATCTACTACTAAATGAAAATTCTTAAATTATTTACTATCATTTTAATACATCTACACCAAAATAATATGAAAATTCTTAAATTATTTTTTACGTTCATTTTAAAAATCAGTTCATTCAGTCCTGACATCTCAAATCATTCCACAACATTGATTTCCAGCTAACGCCCCGGGCACAGAAATAAATTAAAAAGTAAATAAATCAACGCACATAATTAACAATTTCGTAGTAGTAAGAGTTCGAATATTTTTTTGTTTATTTACTTACCGCAGTGATTACATTAATGATACCTAAGTACAATTGCGTCAAATGAAACAAACGCGTTCTAAGCACACATTCATAATACCTACATACAAAATATTACCCATTATTATACTTTGGTACTACAGAACTGGGGCACTATGGTTCTGGAGCGGAGGCCGCATACCGGAAAACGCAGCGTGGACATCCCACGCTGCATTTTCCGGTACGCGGTACCACCCACAAGGTGGACCGACGACATCAAAAAGGTAGCCAGAAGTCGCTGGTCGCAGGCCGCTACCAACCGGTCAACATGAAAATCATTGGGGGAGGCCTATGTTCAGCAGTGAACGTCCAATGGCTGAAGATGATGACTGACAACTACAGGCATAGCGTGTAACTGAGTAGATATCATTGGTTCCCGCTAAAAACCAGCTTCTCGACATGACGTTTGTGTCATGTCGCGATTTTTGCTGAGCGGGCGCTTGTTCAGCATATTTTTATTTTAAGCTAACCATGCTTACTCTAGCTTGTCAACCGTATTGTACTGAATAAAGACTTTCTTATTCTGATGTTTATTATATCTACGGTTAGTACGGCAGTAGGGCTTAGCTTGGAACTCAAGTCACAGTGGTCTTGAGTTATGTTCTCCGAAGTATAATACGAGTATGTTACATAACGCGGTAAATAACACACTGTAACAACACTATAATGTGTCACAGAAACTAAGCTTTGTTTGAAATGGATTACACAACATTGTTTAATCATTCTGATTCTACATCAATATCAATTTAGCGTCAACATATCCGATATTGGATATTTTTGTTTACATAAACTAAATAGAATTGTAAATGCTTTTGGAACGAGATGCTACTGTAATATTTGCACGGAAAAATAAGTAGTACTTCATTATTCGTTTCATTTTTTAAAAGTGAGTAAGTTTTTTGAGTGTGGAGATGAATATCCAAAACTTTAACCAACTGAAACATCAAAGGGAAAATACAGATATTATTTTACTAACGAAAAATTTATCCTTAATAATAAAGATCAATCCCATCATAAACAATACTTGTCAAAAAAACCAAGTCTCGCAACTCAGTTGTTCTACGGTAAAAAGTTGTGAGATCCATGTAATACCAAGTCCAGGCCAGGAAATCTTTAACGTTTTACATAAATTATTGACTTGGCCATCGCACTAAATAATTTAATTTACACGTGTTTTCATGCGATGGCCAAGTCAATATATTTATGTAAAACGTTAAAGATTTCCTGGCCTGGACTTGGTATTACATGGATCTCACAACTTTTTACCGTAGAACAACTGAGTTGTGAGACTTGGTTTTTTTGACAAGTATTGTTTTTGATGGGATCTCATTTATTTTTGTATTTTGTAGACAGCAGTTATGTATCTAGAAAACTGGACCGAAATTGAAAAATTTTACTCAACTTGGCGGTTGCACTACCGTGCCCCCAAATATTTTAGTTTTTCCTTGATTCATACACCAAACACNAACAAGCCATTTTAAAACTGTTAAATAATTTTTAACCATAGGTTTTTAAGCAAATGTTAACTTGTAGTTATGACATGCGAATTTTATTAAATATTTATGGCAATTTTGAGTCTGTAAACTGTGATAACTAAGTAGTAATATGTATAGGGTGTTACTTAAACTTAAGAATAAAGATTTAATTAAGATATAACTTCAATTGTATCATGCAAGTCATTACTAATGTAACTTCATGACTATTATTGTAACTGCCTAACTATTAACGTAACTGCATAACTATTAATGTAACTGCATAGCTATTTTTGTAACCTTTTGCCCGGGAGAATGTCCACATCCGTAGATGTAAACACGGCTTAATTTCATACTGAATGCGTCTAATGTGTCTATGCCTTATTTTTATGGTTAATGTTGGCAACACTAACAATTATATCTCTCTTCCTCATCACGCTCTCACCAACTCGTACTGGTTTTTGTAAATATTGTGTTTTTATAAATAAAAGTCAAGATTAAAGTACAAAATCTTGTTATTTGTATGTTCCACGAACAGTATGGAAATAACAAAACTGATTGGTTATTCTAACACGTCATCTCTTTTCAACTAAAATGGGGTATAAATAAAAAGACACTGGTCTTAACGCGACGTTTATTAATGAGTTACGAGTACATTATGTACTCAACCGCCAGTCTGCTTGTGACCACGGCTGCAGCATCGCAGCCGAAACGTCAAGCCGTGAGTACATAATGTAACTCATTAATAAACGTCGCGTTAAGATCTGTGTCTTACTATTTTAGTTGAAATGGAACGCCAAAGTTTAAAATCGTACATCTCTTTTCTATGCTTTGGTGGAAACCGGGCTTAGGTAGCCTTCCAATCAAGGAAAAATTCCGTGGTACACTTGGAAAAGCGTGTGGTTTCAGGTTTAAATACTCTGGACTTCCTAATCCGACCTAGTTTGTATCAACAAACTTTCAGATTAGGAAGTTTATTTTTCCAAGCTACTATTTTTTTAACAGATAAGGATGTGAATTTTGTGGCCACAGGGGGAAGTAAGTGAACATCTAGATTCTAGAGCTTAGACTATCACATTTCTAAATAATACAATATTCATTTTCTTGTAGTTGAAACCTAGCACTAGAGTGCTCGCGCCCCTAAATACTCCTAGAGTGCTCGCGCGGGTCACATATGTCACCCATTATATGATATGGGTTTATTTTTTCTAATCTTAATTAATACAAGTAAAACAATTTATAATATTAAACATAAACAATATTTCTTACTAAATAATTTAAAAAAAGTGAGTAATTCTTTCATGAACTCATATTATACACCAAAATAAATACTTCAATATTTTCCAAATATTTTAGAGTCGACGAGATCAAAGTCGTTTAAATAGTCCTTGGACCCATTATTTTGGCAAAAATATCACCTAATTAGAAAGTTAATCAATAGATTGATCTTATTCTGTGATATTTTGATCACAACTCGGGCACGATTTGATTTGATGATCTGGACAAAAACGCCTATTCCACTTGTTACATTTGCTTACGAGTGCTTCGATTTCTTGCTCTTGTGCAATAAACACATCGTCCTTTGCCACAGTACTGGCAAGTTTTGTGCTAGTTAGTGTTCTCGCAACCCCAGAAGAATCCTGGTTTTTAATTTTATAGACCTAGGTGTATTATTACTACATTACTTACAATCTAAAACAACTACTTTCTTGCATCAGTTTATGCTTATAAAGCAATATAATTATCGTAAAAGTTTAAAAAATGGTTAAAAAGAATAACTTTGAACTTACATGAAAGTAAACTTGATTTTAAACCGCGATGATAAGATCTCAAACAATTCCTCGAGTGCTCGCGCGGGGGACATGCGTCACCCAAACACTTTAAATGTTTTCTGCACTCACATTGATGCGTCTAGCAAGATGGCGTTACTACTATCATGTGCGACAATACATGCTCGAGGAATACCTAAGAAGGCAGCACTGTAGCTCGATACCTTGAAAAAATATTTACAAATTTTACACCCTGGGTGACATATGTCACCCGCGCGAGCGCTCTAGTGCTATAGTTCCAAAATACTGGACTGTCCTGTCGATGACATTGACAGTGGGGCGCCACCGTCAATACCGGATTGCTGGTTCAGATTTTTGCCATGTTGGAAACCATATAGTTGAACGATGGTAGCGCCCCCCTGTCATTGAGTTTGGCGGGACAGTTCAGCGTGGGTCATCTATAGTTGTTTCAAACGTCAGTCTACCAGTCTGCTTTTGACCATGGCTGTAGCAACAAATCAGAAACGTCAAGCTTAAATTAATTTGAAAATCTTAACCTCCATGACGCAGTATAGAAACTTTAAACTAATCAATAACTTCCCAAACACCCACAATCATAACAGAATTTAAATTGCCCCATCAATAACTCGACTCTTAGCGTGCCTACCCAGTTACCCACATTATATTAGCAGACACGTTTACCCGCCATAACCTACGCCATATATCTCCATCATATCGGTGACCTCCATCTACGGGACATAGGAACACGGTTCTGGATATTTGTGGTGATCAATTTTACGGATCTGTTGACGCATCGAGCGAACGTATTAAAGCCCAGTCTTCAGGGAGAACTCTGCCATTAACTCTGCCCAGAATAATTTCTGTGTGCAGTTTGAATTCTGTAGCTATAGGTATGTATTTATAAGAGCCATAGTGTCAAGCTATCGCCCGTATTCACAAACATCTCACAGTGCGTGTGGACGCACAGGGTGACACATGAACCAATCACAGAGCTCTATTCAACGCTGTACGTTCGATTTGCTGCTTCACTTAAGCAAGCATTGTTTGTGTATATGGGCGTAAAAGGGACTTTTCTGTTAAGGGTTGCAGGTTGTATTAGGGCTGTATATTAAAAAAAAACTGCAAAATCCATGCATGAAAAAATTACGACTTGAACAAAATAGTGTTAAGCAAAACTAGGTATGTGCTCTACAAATAAAATTATATTTAGTTTTTGGCGATTTCTTAAACTAACTAAATAGTGAAATTGAAACGTTCAATTAATATCGATTCTATTCCCGACTCGAATTGCATTTTTACTAAATAAAGTAACGTTTACAGAGCAATTTTCAACGGTGCTCTATCTTTATCATTAGGTCATAGTCTTCTTCAATTAGGTATGTGGATCCTCTGTGGATCTCCACAGAGTAAAAGATGTCCTTACAAAACATCCAACCTATTAACAGCTTGTATGTTCCTACCAGAATCCAAACCAAAACATGATCTATCAAGAATCCCACCCTTCAAAAATCCATGCCATTTTTACAATCAAGAAGCATCACAAAAAGCAGAGTGATTCCGTTTCCGGGTACAGCGCAAAAACTCCAGCGGACGAAACAAAATGGGTTATGAATAAATTTATGCAAATTTATGTTACAATTGGAGGCCGAATATTATTATGCCGGGTTTATCCTCCGTTGATTTGATAACGAGCCGCTCTCGGGTTTGTATCTCCATGATTTACCGCGTTTTAGTTACGTATATTAGAACTGAGAAAGCAGATAGTGGGACCCAAATTGAACAATAGGTTTTAGTTTTAGAGAACTAGTCAGTTAGGCTGTATAGCTATTTAGCGAATAGCTGAAGGGAATAGTGTTCATTTTAGAATTTACTAATCCTGGTTTAGTAATTGATTATCTCATTATGTCATAGGATGGGATAGAATTACTAATAAAATTTATTGTGTTTGTGCTACTATAATGTGGTTCTTAATAATCCACAAATTTTATTGTCCTAAAACCTAAGTTTCAATATGGATTAACAGAATGTAATAACAAGTAATAAAACAAGCTGGATTATTTATAGTATCCATTTTTATGTATTTCTACATTTTTTTGCTGCAAAGTCGCCCTTATGTGCCGTCGTCCGTACATGCATTAATCCCAACTAATATTATAAATACGAAAGTAACTCTGTCTGNCGGGGCTATTCTCCGGCGGAACGGGCATAATACGGAGCACATTGTATTCAAATTATTATGTTCGTATATGATGGGGGCTACCCTCTGATAATATGAACTTAATAAAATTTTATTATACAGACCGATTAAGTGTTGGTTTATTTGCGTTAAGGACTAGTTAAGTGTGCAAGTGGAGCCTAGCCATGTAGGTGTGCTAGTGAACCCTAGCCATGTAGGTGTGCTAGTGAAGCCGAGCCATGTAGGTGTGCTCGTGAAGCCGAGCCATGTAGGTGTGCTCGTGAAGCCTAGCCATGTAGGTGTGCTCGTGAAGCCGAGCCATGTAGGTGTGCTCGTGAAGCCGAGCCATGTAGGTGTGCTCGTGAAGCCTAGCCATGTAGGTGTGTTAGTAAAGCCTAGCCATGTAGGTGTGCTAGTGAAGCCGAGCCATGTAGGTGTGCTCGTGAAGCCGAGCCATGTAGGTGTGCTCGTGAAGCCGAGCCATGTAGGTGAGCGCGTGAAGCCTAGCCATGTAGGTGAGAGAGGAGGAGGAGAGAGAGGGCGCCACTTAGCGCAATAACAACAAGTTCCGTGTATTTCGTGTGTTTAAAAATAATTACTCCAATAAATAACGGAAAAAAGTTGATAGCGAGAAGCCACTACAACTCCAGAAGTGATCGTAATAAAAATCCAAACAAGATAGTCAAGAATACCTAAAGAAAAACGTAATAAAAATGTTCTGGTAGATGACACACTTTTCGTGGTAATAACTTGCCCAAGCGCTTATTTTGAATACACAAGTGTACAGTGACCGAAAATAGCTGGATATACTGCAACAACAATATCTGGAAAAGGTGGGGCTGAATTTTTTACCTTTTTACTAACCTAAAAAGTAAACAAAAGTTGCCTATCACCATCACGAATTTCAAAAGTACTTCTATTAGGCGCTAGATAGCGCTACAGATCAACAACTCGACATACTAAAGCAACAAGTCCATGCAGTACTACCATTAGGCGCTAGATGGCGTTAGAGGCGTTATATTAATAACGTAACACGATCAAGTTACAAGAACTCCTATTCAGCGCTAGAGGGCGTTAGAGGGGTATACTCGTGTCTCGTACTAATAACGTAATACGACCAAACTAAACTGCCATTCGGCGCTAGAGGGCGTTAGAGGATCCACACAGGAACAAAAATAACAACATAGAGGGCAATATACATAAGAGATGGCGAACTTTTGTGCCGGCTGTCATAGGAAAATCACCACTCGAGAATATCTCACTTGTGCCTTATGTAATAAAACGTATGATCTCGAGTGCGCCAGTGTATCTATCCAGAGGTTCTTTAAATACAATGTCCCCAAATCGGAAAAAAAAATGGAAATGCCCAGCATGTACATGTAAAGAACCCAAAGGAAATAATACCAACACTCCATTGCTCCCACGAGAAAGTGATGAAACTCAATATAACACTTCACAATCAGATATAAATAATGTCACTCTAAGAAGGAAAAACACAAATCCAAATGAAA